ATATTGTATAAGACTTCTTTAAAGGTTGAAACCGATGGTCAGATTCAAAGCATCGGAGTCTCTCTTCTCTTCATGCACATTTACTTTCTATATTTCCAATAGTCATTGGGTCAAGTGGGTTAATTGTGGAAATTCTGGATTTCTTATTAGCAAAAAAATATCCATCCCTATTGTCAAAGAACAATATAATTAGGCACCAATTGCATATGGGGAATCTTAATTTAAATCTAATCTTTCATTTTAACTTGGACGATTTGAAATCAAAATCGAGATAATAGAAGGCTTCTGCCTTATCTATGGCAAGTGCTTATACGGTCGGTGCTTCAAGCTATGAGAAAATCAAAAAGAGATTTTTAGTGGATTGCTATTGCTTCTGATTCACCACATAAATTTCGATGGAGCTCTTGGGAAAAACTATCAACCCAAATTGAATGGTGGTCTAGGGTATGCTTGACTGGTCTTATGAGCAAAGCCCTTCTTAAGAAATTGGCTTAGCAGTTTTTTATTCAGGATAAGAAATTATGGGTTTCTCTTTGGAGAAGCAAGTATTTGAAAAATAAATTTCTATTTCCCTTTAGGATTAAATCTTCTGTGTGTTTTGGAAATCTATGGCTCTCATTCTTTGAGAACTTCACTTGGAGATTGATTATCTGGTTAATCCTTGGACAAGTGCCTTGGGTTAGATCTCGTGATTCTTATGTTATAATAGAAAATCCAATCTCTTTATCTTTATTGCTATTTAAGATTGCTGAATTCATTGCTCATGTGGGTCATTGGGACATAATCTTTTATTGCAACAATATTTCTCCCCTTCAATGATTGATCTCATTTTCAATAACCCAGTGGATACTGAAATTTCTTGAATCTGGACAAAGGATAAGAAAGGAGTCTTCTCAGAAAAAAGCTTATTTGGAATCCAGAAAACATTTGTTCTCTGAATCATCTGATCAACAAAAAATATACTTCAAATGGATTTGGAAATTGAACTCTGGACAAATAATCACCCCTCTTTAGGCTGTGTTTGAAAACAATGCATGTAAGTGTGAAAGTAAATATGTAGAGTATAAAACGGTTCATATAAATTGCAAAGTTGGGTTAGTTTTGCAATGACAAATTTACCTTCTTATCAAATAGACTTTTAGCTGTATTGGATGCAAACATGAATTTCAACAAAGCATATGCTTTTTTTTTATCAAAAGCCCACTTGAATGCAAATTTACTTCTTTTATATTGATATACTTTTACATCTTATTATCAATGTAAATATGCATTGGTATGTCATTTGTCAATGCATAAATATAATATTGCCAAACACAGACATAAGTGAACCAGAGTGCAAATTTACCTTGAACCGGAATTTACACTCCATTTGCATCATTTCCAAACACAACCTTATATGGGAACATGCTCTCGAGACCGTTGAACATTAATTTTCTCCTACCCTTTTTTTTCTTGGCTGTATACTTTTTTTTTTTTTTTGGTATTTAATATCACACATGACACACCACTAATAACCCCTTCCCCTTTCTCAAATCAGTGGTTGAGGGAATTGATTCTACGTCAATACTGAATTAAACCAGCTAAGATACCAACATGACACCCCTCGGTTGGTTACCTCGGCTGTATACTTTGGGTCTCAATGGAATTTATGTCTTTCAAGTGTGTTTAATGGATCTTGGGTAAATTGTACTGGTCACTTAATAACTTCTATATCTGGAAAATATCTCACTCATGACATTCTTGGTTGGTTTGCAATGGTTTCCTATTATGTCTGGTATGCCAAGAATGAAGAATAATTTAGACAAATACTATTTCTGTTTAATGGATTATCAATTATATCAAATCTCTTTTCTTCTCAGTCATGTGGGTATTATTTCTTCTTCCTCCATCTTCTTCTTATGCTTATATATATATATATATATATATATATTGTTCTCAAGGTTTTGTTGAAGAGGCAGAATTAATGGCTATCTGTGAAGGATTACAGAAGACGATGCAACAGGGATGGCATAATTCATTGATTTGTTCGGATTCTCACCTGGTTCTTCAAGCACTACAAACAGATTACTCTACTAAATCCTTACTATTTTCTCTTGGGCCAGTACACTTTTGTCATGTAAATAGACTTTATAATTATACTCTTGTCCATATTCTAGCTCAATTTTCTAAGTATTTAGATCATTATATTCTAGCCCAATTTTCTAAGGGCAGCCCAGTGCACGAGGCTCCCACCAATGTGGGGTCTAGGGAGGGACATATGTATGCAGCTTTACCTATGAGCATACAAGCACGGGAGATGTTCCCAATTCACAATTCACGGGAGATGGGTTGTGGGATGCCTATGGGGAGCCCTTATGAATTACATAGAGAGAGATTGTTTCCATGAGTGTTCTTTTTTTGGATTTTGAGAGTGGGGAAAGTTAGTCGATGGGAAAAATCCCATTGACCAAGAATCCCATGTTCTTTTTTCAGATTTATGTAGGGATTAGGGAAAGTTTATTTTCCTGGATATCACTTATTCGGATAAGTGATACCCATCTCCTAAGGGGTAAATAACTTTCCCACTTGGGGGGAAGTTGCCAACACTTGAATGGGACAAAAATACCCCATTTAATAATGAATTTTTATCGTTAAAATGGTCATTGCCTTATTTACATGGGAAATAAAAGAAGATGGGTAAATACACTTATCCGGGTAAGTCTTTCCTAAAAAACACTTACCCAGGTAGGTGCATTTACTCGAATAAATAACTTACTGAAAAACGAACAGAGATTTAGTGATATTATGCATTTATGGGATAACAAATGACTTGTTTTTTATAACAAGAGGAATGTTAATAAACAAATGAGTTAACAATATTCTTAGAAAATTTGCCCTAGGAACAAGGTGGGACTATGATAAGATGTATCTAGTTTTGTCCACTACTCTTGTTCTTGTAGAGTGAAAAAAGTCCAAAGAGTAGCATAAACTCATTGTTTAATATCATTATTAGCCAACCGCTTTACTTTGATAAAAGACAATCACTGACGTTATAAAATAAATTTATTTTTTATTAGCTTCCCTTTCTTCCTTCCAAATAAACTATAATTAGTATACATTACATTATTGTGCTTACAAAACCAACCACATGGGTTCTCCATGTTAGTGTATTTGTAAGCTCTATATTATATTGATTTCTAACTTGGATCTTATAAACTAATAATTATTCCCTCATTCTCCTGTTATCTCCTTGATTGCAATTTCAATCACACATTATCTATGATTTGGGCAAGTCTGTTTCATTATAAAATATCTATGGATATTTTATATGTCAATCTCGGAGAGAAATTATCAAAATATTATTGAATAAAATTGCTCCTTCTAATAGCGAAATTTATGGATAAAAATGATTAATTATTTAAATTACTTTAGATAATATTTATGTTAAAAAATAAAAATAAAATACATTTATTATACTTACTCGAGTAAATACATTTACCCATATCATTAATAATTAACCAAAATTTGAACATGTCCCTTTTTTATATCTTTCATCTCCTATATTTTCTCCTTCACTTTTTATTGCACTTTCATTCACTGTGGTGTCATAGTATTAAGAGATATGGAGTCCCATACCCCAATAAAAATAAAAAGTGACCGTGGCTATATCATTTAGGCCATGTTTGGGAGTGCTTAAGTTAAAAATAAGTGCTTATTTGAATAAGCACTTATTTGCATTTGGCACTTTTCAAGTGCTTATTTTAAAAAATAAACACTTATTTTATATTGGGCGTTTGGTAATATTTTTCTCTAGCTAATAAGCACTTAAATAAGCATTTGTGGCTATTTTGTCTTTGATTTTCTTTCAAATTTTCAAAATATACCCTTTGAAAGTATTTTTATAAAAACACTTTGAACTTTTATAAAAATACTTTTATGAAAGCATTTTTATAAAAGTAATCTTATGAAAACACTTTTACAAAAGTACTTTTATGAAAACACTTTTATAAAAGTACTTTTACAAAAGCACTTTTAAAAAAATATTTTTATGAAAGCACTTTTATAAAAGTATTTTTGTAAAAGTACTTTTATAAAGTACTTTCTTTAAAGTGCCTTCATAAAAGTACTTTTGTAAAAGTGCTTTAATTCAGCTAGGGGTAATTCTATAAGTGGTATTTTAAAATTCAAGTAGGGATAATTTTAGAAGAAAAATTTTGAATAAATGCTTATTGTATAAGCACTTAAAAAAAGCTAGAAATTTGGACTTAAAAAATAAGTCTTTATTTTTAAAATAAGTACTTATTTTGTGCTTATTTCTCAAATACCAATAAATGTTTAATGACCCAAATAAACACTTTTTTTTTATTTTTAAGCACTTCCAAACATTGCCTTAATAAAAAAAATGTTTTGTAAGATTTTGCCTTGACTTTAATCATAACCAACAGTGGTTCTATTGTTTCTTTGATTTGGGTTCATTGTTTGGTTTGGTAGGGACATGCCGTGTGCAAATCATTCTCTCTCTCTCTTATTGTTCTTGGCTCCATTCATTGTAAGTGCAAACTGCTAAGGCCCTAAGCGTACAATTTTATTTGGTAATGCCTTATTGCCTTACAAATGCTCCATATATCACAAATCTTCAACCTCCCGTCATTTCAATTGGTCCAACTCTCAGTAAAGCTGGATCCCTCTCACGTAACCTCAGAGTACTGGTGTAAAAGATAGACTAGTGAGTAGTAGTGAGTGATGAGTTTACAAGAGAAGGGAGGAAGGAAGGAAGTTTGGAGTTCATGCAACCCTTGGTGCCACGCCCTACAGACAAGGTGGGACCCATGTCTGATCTTGTACTGTACCATGTCTTTTCGTGGGTCCCCCCAACCTTGTGTGTTACTGTTGTGTGTCTGGTGTGGGGGCGAGGTAACCTAGAATTTCATCAAGCTTCGACATTTTTGTGTTGATTTATTTAATTTTTTTCAGGTAAACCCACGTTGTAATTGTATTTTGACTGAGGCTGAGGTAAGACAATCAAACAAAAGGTGGAGAAGTTTGCCAGATATACGGATTTCTTTCCCTCAGCTTTCTCTCAGCCGAACTGGGTTTCTTTTCACGTATCGGTCCATTTCCGACTCCTGATTTTTGTTGTGGCTGGCTTCTCGACATTTTGGGAGTTGGGACTATCCTCATATCTGAGTTCTCTTCTGGGTTCTGGCCTCGTGGGTCTTCTAATCTACCTTGTTTGTAGCCCTGTGATTCAGATTGTGAGTTCTGGGTTGGCGAGAGATGTTTCCTGGTCTGATCCAACCCCACGAAGCGGTTGTTCCACAGGAAGAGATTCAGGGCTCGAATCACCGAGGGGACCCTTGCTTGGTCCTGACTTCGGATCCTAAACCACGGCTGCGATGGACTGCTGACCTCCACGAACGTTTCGTTGATGCCGTCACTCAGCTCGGAGGGGCCGATAGTCAGTATTCCTCCGTTTATTCTATTAATCTTCTATCTTCGTTACAATAAATGAAGTCTGCTCAGAACTGGCTTCTTTTGTGAAATGGGTTTTGTCTCTTTTGGGTTTTGTGAAATGGGTTTCGTTTATTTATTGTTGATTCCATCATTTGATGGCAGTTTGGTGTTTCTGCTGTTATTGTGCTAACTTACATTTAATTTTCTGTAATTAGAGAGTTGGTGTTGCTGCTGTTATTTGTGCTAACTTACATTTAATTTTTCTGTAATTAAAGAGTGTTTGAAATGCATTTCTCAGTTTACTGTGCTTTGTTTGTCTGAGTGTGTTTGCTATTTGCCATTTCTTTTTCCTTTAGGGATTTGGTTCGGTATTTATCAATGGATGATTTGGTAGCTGCTAAGTTAACTATTTTCGAGTCAAATTGTTATGCATAAGCATATTTTCTTAGGTTAAGTCCTAAATGAAATCGATACTATAATTCATAACCCCAACCATCCGCCCCCCCCCCACAAAAAAAACAAAAAAAAAAATCATGTCTTCCCCTTTCTCCTTTCTCCTATTTGTTGTTTGCGTGCATATACTTTAATATACAAATTATCTATTCTATTTCTATGTGCTTGTGTTCTTTTCTTCGCTTCAAAATTGCTTTTATTTGGGCTTATTATTCCCACAAATGTATTTTGTATTTTCCAGAAACATATTATTTCACTTGGAGCTTTTACTTTTTCAACTTTACAAGTCTGGCCTGGACTTTAGAAAAGAAAAGCAGAGATGATACCTTGGTGAAAATGATACCCTGGTGATGCTCTTGTCCGGATCATAATAAAATGAAGCTTTTGGCATTGAGAAGAAAACCGAAGTTTGAGCCATGGTTGCAAAACCGGTTCCTTGTTTTCTTCCTTATTTGGATGGTCTTCAACATTTTTAGACTACTAACACTTTTCAATTTAGTATAGTTACATGGGAATACATTTGCTTTGCATTTTCTTGCTGTGGACTTATTCTATGGCCCCATGCTGTGCAAGTCTGGTTGCATATATGATAGCTTTGCACTTAATTGATAGTTCTAGTATTCGGATTACTTGTTAAGAAAATAACTGATTTCTACTTGCAGAAGCAACTCCAAAGTCTATCATGCGGACAATGGGCGTCAAGGGACTAACACTTTTTCATCTGAAGAGTCACCTCCAGGTTTCTTTCCATTACTCGATTTCTCTAGTTTTATGTTGGAAGTTGCAAATGAAAATAGTATTGAGAATTGTGTTATACAATCTGCATAACAGAAATACAGACTAGGTAAGCAATCAGGGAAGGATTTGACTGAGCCGTCCAAAGATGGTAAGATTTTTGTAACTCATTCTTTTTGTCATGCACCAGCATTTATGAAATGTTATTCTTCCATACTTTCTGTCCATTTTGCCAGAAAAAAAATGTGATAGATATTCCTAATATTGTTGTATGACTTGAACTTTGCTTAATGGACTTCATTTGGCTAAAATCCAAGCTGGGAATCAGTTTTCATTTATAGAAAAAGAGAAGTAAATCATACTTCCCTTTCTCTTATGAAAAAGTTTTTTTATATACAACTTAAAATGAATGACCTCTGAGTAGAAAAATTTTCACATTTAATCTGACTTGTTTTACCATTTTACTGGAGGAACCCCAGCTTCATACCTTTTGGAAAGCCCACACAACGGTACCTCCTCTCCTGGCATGTCTGCTTCTGATTTAAATGAGTAAGATACATGTTCCATCTGTCTTTTCTATGAAGCTCTTATCATGATGTATATGCACCCACATTCTATCATTCAGTGTTTGAACGAGCTAAAGTTCCTACATTATGGGCCATGTCATACTTAGGGGTTATGAAGTTAAGGAAGCACTAAGAGCCCAAATGGAAGTGCAAAGGAAACTGCATCTGCAAGTTGAGGTAAGTCCCTTCCTCATTTTGAATATCAACTCTGCAGTGGATTTCTTTGGAAGCTTTGAAATTGTTTTGCTAATTATGTGGGTCTTGGGAATTGGAAATGGCTTTGTGGTTGCCGTAGAATTTTGACAAGAAAATAAAGGGAAGAGAGCACTGTTGGTAGTAATGAATTTCCATGTCAAGCTGGCCTTGGCAATGGGAAATGGATCTTGTTCAGGTGGGGATGGACAATAGGTAGGGAACTAGAGGATAACACAGTTCATGGTTATAATTTTCCTTCCTTTACCTTCCAAGTCTTGTAACTATTGTTCATAAATAATAAAAAATAGAGTAAATGATTAACCATCATGATCCCATGGATGTATAATATAATAAGTTACTAGTAGTTACCAAATCAACGGTTTTCCTGGGATATCAGTTACCAAATCAACACTTGAAATCTTCTCACCTAATTTTACCTTTTTGTTTGCAGGCTGAAAAGCATTTGCAGATATGCAAGGATGCAGAAAGAAGATACGTGGAATCTATGCTTGAAAGAGCATGCAAGTTGCTTGCTGGCCAAACCATCAGCTGTCTGGTTCCTGATGCAGAAGGGCATGAGCTTCCAGGATCAGCACCAAAGGCTTCTAGAACAAGCTCTTCTCATGAACCTACAAGGTTCTATTCTTTACGTCCGGCTGAGGCAATTAGAGTGCAAGTCCCTGAAGAAGAGCCTCCTAATCTGCAGCCCCCTAGAGCTGATTGTTCCACTGAAAGCTGCCTGACTACAAATGGAAGCCCTGCAGGATTGTCTTTAGAGAGTTCTCCAGCAGGATGTAAGAAAAGGGTGCGGAGCTTGGACACAACAGATGCTCTAATTTGGAGTGAGGCTTCAACAAGAACCCAAGACATTGATGCAACTCGCATTGATCCTCATGTGATTACTGGGTATGGCAGACTTGGAGAAATATGAGAAATGGTGCCTTTTTGTTCTCTGCTTTTTTTAGCACTTGAGCACTTAAAATTAAAATAGTCTAATAATGGCTAGCTGCTCTGATATGTAAAATGCTGGGTAGAGAAGGGGATTAAATATTTAAATTGTGCCAAGCTGTAAATTTGTAGCTTCTAATCACTCAAATATCAAATTGTTAAATTCTCTTTAATGCCTAATTAATTTTGCGACATTGTTCTTAATTGCCTTCCTTTCTATTTGTAGTGGCTAAATGGCTATCAAGTTAACCTGCGTACCAAATATCAATTGGATTTGAATACACGTTTCATTTAATTTGTCTTTTATCAGGTGGATGGTTCTTTGGTCTTTATCCTGATGTAGTATAGAGCTCTGCAAGTAATCAATGTTTATGTACGTCAATGCTTAAATTTTTCTAGTTCTAGCTAGGATTGGTAGTTGATATTTTCTTCAGTTTTATGAATTCAATTGGGATTGATTACAAAATTCAGTCAAATGAACTTAATCAGTCCTGATTGCCTATTCCCCATGAATTCAAGTGAGATTGATTAGAAGTTTCTAACATCAAATCACTGATCAAATTTCAAAGCTCTGCAACCCGGAATCTACAATAAGAACAGAGAGGCTGATCCAACGGGTAAAATTGGAACCTCTTTTTTCTACTGCTTCATTGTACTGGTGGTTTTGTCCATTCTTGCAGCCTGCTTCTCTGATTATGAGATTCTGATGGTCTTAATTGCACTGCCAAAGGGGGTAGACCACCGTTGGATTACAATAGACTGAGACTGCGTACTGGAGGGGTCTACAGTCTACTGCCCAAAGGCATGGTGAGATGCGTACGTTCACTTTTTAGGCAAGAGCCATGCAATCATCCAGATTTTGATTGTAGCATCTCTTTACAGATGGTCATCGAAAAATCTCCAATCTAGTTACGGACGTACCAGATTCTGGTACAGTATTTGGGACCCCACTGTCGTTTCAGCTTCAGGAATCCAAGACCCCTTTGTATATTTTTTTTCAAATTTCAAATACAAAGAGAATAATTGGCAATTTACAAATTGATTCATATTCACTATTTGAGAATAAGGATTCAAATTCAATATCCAGGAATCTTATGCCTATTTATATCATTTTCATCATTAAGATGGCGTTTGGAAACATTGTATCTATTAATTTTTGTAAAAAAAAAAAAAAAACCAATTTTCACGTATCTTACTTCCTCTCTGAAGTAGTGTTTAATGGCACCCAAGGTTCAAAGTATTGATACATATCGGCCTGCATTGTGTCGGGAGCTTTTGGATATGTTTCTAGAGGGGTTGTATTGGGTCAGACCATGGTTCAGAGGGTAGTTGAGAGTTGGGATTTAAACCGACCTCTCTGAACCAGTTTTAAAAAAATAAATAAATAAAACATAGAAAAAGTACCGACATAAGCCGATACACCCTGTGTCGATACTTTAAACCTTGATGGCACCTATAACTCAAGTCTTGAAACTAGGAATAAACAGAAATAACATTAGAACTTGGAGTTTGTGCTGGATTCAACTTTTCTCTCAATTTTTTTGATGAAATCAGTTTCAATACCCAACACCACATCAGACACTAAAAAAGTTGCTTTCTTGAACTGAAGAGGTAAGGATTTTGGACTGTTCATTTTCTGTCCAATGTTTGAAACTTTGGATGGTTGATAAAGAGAATTAGATGACACTTTGCAAATGCCACTTTGACGGTTGGTACTGTTCATTGAATGTGCTTAATGCTTACTATATTGTGCGTGGTTTCTCCTAAGTACAAGTAATTCACTCTTGTCAAACAAAGCAGTTCACCGGTTAGCCAAGCATGAATGCTTGATTTCTAATTACTTCACCTAGTCTCAATAACCCAGAACTTTTATCCTCTATTATATCTTAGTAACTGTGACTTGTACTAGTCCTTGTTGAATGGAATTTGCCTTAGTGCCTTCCAAAGAAAATTACAAATATAGAATGAGTGTATCTTTGTAATGTATACATATAATTATATATGCAAATGAATACAAGGTGGCATTCGGCACATCTGAATTTTGAATTGAAAGAGAAAAAAAACTCTAAAAAGCTTTGAAAGCAATATATAAAAAATTTGTTTTTCTACTTTTGTAGACATCTGAATACTATGAAGTTGTTCAGTGCATTTTAAAAATTTACCCCTCAAATTGTACTTTAAATAGAAATAATGAAAATGATTAAAATATTATGATATTATAAAGTAATAATGTCCCTAAGTCTTGGAGTTTGTTTAATACCATTGTCGTTTTCTCAATCACAGAAACACCTTGAAAAGTGATAAATTATTTCAGGTTATATGTAGGGGTGTTCACAGTTTAATTAACCAAACTGTAGGACTTTTTTTTTCCAACCGAACCAATTTTTCAATTTTTGGAAAACTACAAACTGAAACCGAACCAAAACCAATCGGTTAACTGATTGATTGTATTGGTTTTTGAATAGTTTGGTTCTTCTGTCTTTCAGTTTTTTTGAATTTATAATATATGTTATAAATAAATAAATATATATATAATTATATAATTATATAATAGTAATAATAGAAATATATGTAATATATTATATTATAAATAATATATACGTGTATACACACATGGATATGTATTTCAGTTATCCACTGATTTTTCATATTGGTTAACCAAAACCAAACTGATCAGTTCGATTCATCAGATTTTTTTGATTTGATTTTATCAGTTTAGTTTGGGTTTTTTTTTCGGTTTTTTAATATTGAGCACCATTTTAGATAAAGGATGCTAATATTGAACACCATTTTAGATGGTGTTTGACATCATGATAGCTTCGAGTGAGGCGTTTTCTAGAGGAAACTGAAATACCACATTACAGCTACAAAACACCACTTTTGTTGTTTTAGTGTTGTTGTTGTCATGTAGGAATAGTGGCAACGTTTTCACCTATAAATCATTTGGTTCAAAGTGTTTTTTATAGATGGTTATTGGTGATTTTTTATAGGGTTTCCCCTCCCCTTGTTCAAAAGGAGGTTTTGATAGGGTTTCCTCTTTCCTTGGTCCAAAGAAAAAACTCAACCATTGCATCGTGATGCACTAGATAGGATGCACCCATGCCATATCAACATCCATGTTGGAGCAATGTTAGCTAAGTGTTTGAAGAAACACATGGCTATTGCTCATGATTTGCAGGATGTTTGGTTTCGTAGGCGTTTTTTCAATAAATGCCACCACATCAACGTTGGTGTTTATTGGGTATGAAACCACTGTTTGGTTTCAACATTTATCTAATAAACGTGAAAAAATGTAAGTGCATTAATTTATGTGAATTCTTGTTAAATTCTCGCTTCCCCCAATGGCTAGGTGTTTCGTGAAATGTAGAGCTTAGTTGGTGCTGACGTGTGTTGGCATCAAAGTTGCAGAACTATTGAACCCTAACTTTACTTGGAATCTTAATAAACTTCATCAATTGTTTGACGAATCTACCATTGGCCACATTCAATCAGTCACACCTCAACCCAACCAACAAGCAGATTTGCTCATTTGCAAGTACAACGCTTCGGGTATATACTCAGTCAAGTCAGTTTACCATTTTTTCAGTCGCGCACAATGTTTGAGCTCAAGTCCACACTTCAACTGGAGGTTGCTATGGAAAATTAGTGCCCTATCAGTTTCAAATGTTTCTTTAGAAGCTATTATGGGATGAGTTACTCACTAAAGGCAAATGTCACAAGTGGTTTAACCTCCCAGATCAGCTTTGTAACTTCTGTAAGCAACAACAGGAAACAACTTTTCATGTTTTTTTCAGTGCCCCTTCGCAAGAGTTGTTTGGTGTAAATCACAAATTGGGTTAAATCCAGCATCCTTAACACCCCAACCAGTGCATGCCATTCTATCAAACTGGTATGAGTCAAGTGCATCCACTTTGGTAAGTCCCATGCCCAGCTAAGTCTAAGCAACTTCAGCTTGCTCAGTTACTTCATTTGGAAAGCACGCAACAAGCTGCTTTATTTTTGAAAACACCATCCCAGATCTTCCACCTGTTGTTCATATAGCTTTTCAATGCTGCACCCAAAAAATAGTTCCCTCTACAAGTGCTCAATCTCACTCCCCCATCTCACCACACCCACCTTGCACATTGATGGATCGTTTGATCTAGTTACAGGGAATGCACGATGAGGGTTCATCATCAAACATCCCAATGCCAAGTTACTCATTGCAGAAGGCAGTCCATGCTGGGCCCTCAACAGCTACGATGCTGAAATGTGAGCGTTCTCAATGGGCCATGAAGCAGCACTATCACGTGACATTACACAATTTCTGGTCTTTTCTGATAGCTCTACCTTGGTGGATCTTGTAAATACAGATCGGCAAGCTATGCAATGGATCGAACAGCTACATCGCAGCAGCATCAAAAATCTCATATCAACTTTTACGTCTATATGTTTTGTACATTTTAATAGACAATATAACCAAACTGCCCATCTTTTTTCTTATACATCTTGTATGAGGCAGTTAAGTATGCACTATGACTCTAGCAGCTCCTCTCATGTAATATTTTCAATGATCAAATGAAGTTGGTTGTGTCAGACAAACTTCTTCGACCAAGAGGATAAGCCATCGTCAGACTCACAGAGAGGGCTTCTTCCCACAATAAATTGGTGGCTATGGACGCCGGTAAGTATGCCATCAAAACCATTAATCTCCTAGCTTGACACCGGCAAGGACCTTCACCAACGATTTCTCAATTGACGAATCAGTGTTTTAATTTGTTTGCAAACTTTATAACCAATTTCTTGTCGCTGCTATCTCTTGCTAGTTACTTGGAGATCGGGTACTAGGCAAGAGAGGGTAGGAATAGATTGGTTGTTAGAATAAATAAAGGGGGAGCAAATCAATCCTTAATGTTGTAGAATCATACCAATACCATTCAATATACGAAGAACAAGAAGCCATGTTGCACCCCAAAGAATATCATGTTGCAGTTATCAAGGAGGTTTAAACGTAAATACCTGTATCCATCGYAGTAGTTGAAACYCTTGCGGAATGAGTGATGAATCAATGGTTGGTCGACTGGTGTGGCTTTCTTCAGTTAAATCTTCCTTCTTCCTTAGGTTTTCTCAGCTCTTTGATTCTAATGGGGTAGAACAAAGAGGGTGGCTAGATGATTTAACATATTGGGAACCATAACCTATGAGCCTTTATATTTTGACCTAAT